TGCGTTAGGAATACACACTTGGATAGGTTTGTTTTTTAGTGTCACTTTAAGTCATGTATATTTGTGCACCTATGTCATGTGGACAGTGCCTGTTTTAGCAGCATAACATCCGTGTGTCTTTCATAACTGGCTGAAGCAGTCGGTTCTCAGAGGTCACATACAAGATGTTCTGACTGGTCTCTTTTTCCAGAGTTCCTCTGCAGATTGCTCTTTAAACCATAATACTTCATTATTCTACAGTCAATCTGCAGAAAGAATCACTACATCTGTCATGTTTCTGACCAGATCAGGAAGTGAGTTCAAAGTTGGATTTGCATACTTTGATATTTATCTGGGTCTGCATAAACCATTTCTTAAAATGTAAAATTTCTGTCTTTGGTAACTTTTGTGAATGAATATGAATGGCACTGTAATTAGAAACATATGTGACAGCACAAAGTATTTTTCTTTTAGGTCATGTTCCACAACATCACTAAATATTACTATGCAAGAGTAACCTTTAATAAATAAAGTGACTTCATTTCATCAGACAGGACGTTCTAGCATATTTTCTGTTGTTTTTAACTCAACATTTCCTTTATATCCAGTCTAGTCAAATGGGGAAATATTTGCTGAGCTAAAACGCAGAAGGCAACAAAACCCTAACTTAAAATCTGAAGGAAATTGATAAAACATTCAGCAGGAATGGGAATAACAATGATCACAACGGCATTTCAATATACAATTTAAATTTAAATGATATCTTTGGTTAAACTTGAATGACATGGCTTTTTCAACCTATGTATTATTCTGAACTCTAAGCAGATATAAAAGACATAAATTAATAAGATTTGTAATAATGAATGCATCATTAAATGTAATTTTTGAGTTTAAGCAGTGTAAATACCTGAATTAGACCTGATATCAGCCTGTTGCAGTACCTGTAAAGCAGAGTGTGAGAGTAAGAAGCAGCACAAGGAGCCAATCAGTTCATGGGCTGACAAGAAGCATGCTGAGAGGAAGAGAAAGCAGAGTGACAGTTTTGCTTTAAAGCAGAACTTTACCCACAGTTCTTTAGCAAGGAACATACATTCCACATTAAAATATATGCTATCAAAATTAGTGTGTGCTGTAAATTGCCTCCAGCATTGTTCCTGTTTCTTCATGCTGGAGGCTGCCATTTTGCTGAAACCCAGAGCCCCTGAGTAGCAGTAAATCTTTAGGCTGTCAGCATATCAGCCTCTACATTTTTGGCACATTGCAGAGCAGGGTAAGATGGTGTATTGCTGGTTTTTAGATATTATAGGCACTTACTTTTAATGCTTTACATAGCTATACCTATAAATGGGGCCAACCTGAAGCAGGCTAAGGACTTAGTTTTCTGACTAAAGTTCCACTTTAAGAAGAGCATATCAGTAGAAATGGGACCAGGCAGATACAGAAGCAGGAGAAGCTCCTGCCTTGGGTGCTGTGGTGGTAAGTGGAAGGTGCAGTGGGAGATTATACTGTCTCTGTGTTGGTTTTTTTTGCTTTGCAGGACCTGGTTTTCATAATAAAACTCAATCCTGTGAATTACACCGGGAAAGCTGTTCTACCAATGTATTTAAGGGAGCTATGCTGTTTGTGTCACTGCCGACCCTGCTCTGTATGAGGAGCAATGACAGCTGAGTCCTGCTCTTTACTCATTTATAAGTAAGGATTGCATTGGCAGCCTTCATTCATAATTTAGTGGTATATTTAAATTGTATAACAAACATTAATTGTTTTTTTAACTTCTTCATCTCCTACTTGCCCTAGCTATTGTTTTTTGATTTTTGTATTGTTCAATTGTAAACTTTTAAAATATGCATTTGTATTTTTGTACACATATGTTTGTAGGCATAATTTATCAAATATGCCATGTTGGCATTCGGATGAGTTATATGCTACCTTAGTTTTCAAATGAAAAAATGAAATTTGGTTATCATAATGTTAATAAAATCTTTGCTCTGTTTCAATATGTTCATAAAAATGAAATCACACTAATATGACCATATTGCAATTTTCCACTTGCTGTTTGGATTTCAATGAACTAAGCAGTGGTAACCCTAGGGCTGGTGGACAGTATCTGTCATTGGACAGGTGCTTTGACATTTTCTGTATAGAGGGACGCACTATGGCATCTTCAGCTTGGGTGCCAGAGGATCTTGTGATAATCAGTTATACCTGAGCACAACAAAACAACTCAAATACTAAAATAAAAAAATAAAAAAATGCTTGCAGGGCTCTAGATGGACAGACATGTGATTTACATTTAGCACCTCAAGTTTAGCTAGGGGGGAGCTAGTTAAGTTTTTTTGGCAGAGGCTTATTAGGAGCCTGGGAGTGAGTCAGCCAGGTTATTTTACGTCAGTGCTGAGGGCTCTGCAAGTCAGTTTTCTGATACCTTCCCCTGCTCTGGAAGCTTGAGAAGTTTCTGAAAGGTAGTGGGTGGGGGTGAGGAGGGGCTTATTTTCATACTCAAGGAAATCTGACCAATCCCCAAATAGGAGGCTTGGCATGGGATCAGGGTGGCCCTTAAGTATGAGATAGCCTGATCAGCATGGGTGTAGTGTATCAGATGCAAGATGGATTGAAGACTGGAGTGTGGAGCCTGTAAGGAGGCCCAGGAGAGGGGCCTACCTACAGGTAGGAGCTGAAAAGAGGATCTCTCTGCCTTATTTTCCCCAGAGAGAGGACGGCTTGAGAAGACAGAGAATGAGCCAGTCCAGTGTGAGGCCTGAAGGCAGCCACCAACCCACCAAGCTCACAGGAGAGACAGTGAGTAGTGAGTAGTGAGAGTGAGTAGTCCTTCACTCCCTGGGCCAGATAAGGGGAGAGGAAAGTCAGGCGGAAAACTCAACTAGCTTCTCATCTGGGGCTGTTTTACGGAAGTTTCTGGGTCCCCTTGCCCCGGGATACTCTCTGGCAGCTGGGTGAAGAGGAGGATTCATTTGGAGTCTGAGGAGGTACACCATAGAGCAGGAATGCTTTCAGAGGAGAGACTATTTTGTCCATATATGTACATAGTTGCTAAGGAGTTTTCCCTCAAGTTTGCAGTTCCATTGGGCATCCCAGGCATCCCTCAACCCCATCCAAGTTCAAAACGCCTTAATAAAACTGCAAAACCAAGCTCATGGACTGCTTATTGACTCCAGTGTGCAAAGTGTGGAAATAAATGTGTGTTGCCTGGCTGTGCAGAGCTTTAGAGGGATACAAAACTCAGTGACTCCTAAGGGAGTAGTGCTGCATACAAACATTAAAGGTCAGATTTACTTAACTTAACTTTCTGACCATGTTTCATGTTACACTCATATTTAGAGGGTAACATGAAACAGGCCCCCCCCCCCCCCCCCACGCACACATTTCCTACACTTACAGAATACAGGGGTTCTTCTTCCCAGCAGCTGTTAGATTTGAATCTACAGACTTCAAGGAGTGTTGTTATTAAAAAAAACTTCCTGGGCCCTAAAAACAGTGTTTTACGGTTGGATACAATGCATCCAGGTGACCCCTGACAGCCATCTTGGGTTAGCGAAGCCCCTGCCCCCAGGTTTTGGTGAGAATTTGTTCAAAGTGGCTAGAGTAGCTAAAGGGCACCCAAATGTCAGGAAAAGTGATGGTGGCAGAGATAGGTTTCAGATTAGGGTCAGGCAAGGGACTGGCAGTCCTGCCTTGTTCCAGCCAGGCCCCATTCCACCCTCTGAATAAAAACGGTGTTGGTTCATCTTTGCCCGCTGCTTCTCTGCCATGAACTGAACTGTGTTACCCTAAGCGGCGCACTCCCTTTGGGGTTGTTTGTAGTTTCCATTTTTCTGCAAAAGAGTCTCCATCCAGGCACTTTTTTTTTACTGCCGCCACACCACACTGCACCTACCCCCATGCCTTAAAGAGGAAAGTGCATTAGACCTAATACTTCTGTTAGGTCATAGGATCAGGTGAGAGCATTGGTGTAATGGTGGAGGAATTGCTGGATAACAAAGACGAGAAGAAAGACTATAAATTTAAGGACACAGGATTTTTATGGAAAATATATGAATTTTTATTTTTCATCAATTGGGACTCAGATGCAATATATTATGATAATAAGGAGTACATTATATATATATATATATATATATAATTTTTATTTATTTTTTTAATTATATGTTTCTTAACTTTTTAAGGATATCACTATTTATTCCTATTGTGAGTGGAATAGGATTTGGTTGTACATATTGGTTGCATATATTACTGCTTAGAGCTATTTATATAATCATTTTAAGTTTAGTTTCACTTTGATTGAGCGCTAGAGGCCAAAAGTCTCAATATCCTCTGCAGCACCATCTGCTGGTGAAATCTAATTTGGGGAAATAATTGTAAGTAAATAGTAAGTCATTTAGATGAATGTTTTTACAGGCCAATGTGTAGACTGTCTAGTCAGTTGTTCTCACATACAAGATTGCCGATTAGTGAATTTAATCTTTATTTATTGTAAATGTGATTCAGATCAGCAATACTGGCTCCTTCCCTTGTGTCTTTTGTCCCATGCTCGATACAGTATTTAGCTGAGTCATTTTCAGCCTAATGCCTTCCATTAATTATTTTAACAGTGCTGTTTGTTCTCTTAATAAGGGTTTAAAATTCCCTTAACTGCACTTAAAATGCTGCCTAGTCTGTTGTCCTTGATACAATCACATAGTCACAGTACTAAGGTGTCTTATCGCTCTGTTCATGCAGCCTGGGAATCATAGCCATACAAGCTAAAAACATTGTCGCCTTTAGCCAGTTTATTTAAGGTTTTTATTTATATAGCAGTTTCTTGCACAACATAATTATGTGATTGACTTGAACAACATTAATTTATGTAATGGCCACTTTTAAATAGGGAACATATGTAAAACAGATACAGCATCAGATATACACTATATTGCCAAGAGTATTGGGACACCCCTCCAAATCATTGGATTCTGGTGTTCCAATCACCTTCATGGCCACAGGTGTATAAAATCAAGCACCTAGGCATGCAGACTGCTTCTACAAACAATTGTGACAGAATGGATCACTCTCAGGAGCTCAGTGAATTCAAGCGTGGTACCGTGATAGGTTGCCACCTGTGCAATAAGTCCATCTGTGAAATTTCCTTGCTACCAAATATTACATGTCAACTGCTAGTGATATCATAACAAAGTGGAAGCATCTGGGAACAACAGTAACTCAGCCACAAATTGGTAGGTCACGTAAAATGACAGAGTGGGGTCAGCACATGCTGAAACGCACAGTGCGCAGAAGTCGCCAACTGTCTGCAGAGTCAATAGCTAAACACCTCCAAACTTTGTTTGGCCTTCAGATTAGCACAACATCAGTGCATAGAGTGCTTCATGGAATGGGTTTCCATGGCCAAGCAGCTGCATCCAAGCCTTACATCACCAAATGCAATGCAAACCATTGGATGCAGTGGTGTAAAGCACGCCGCCACTGGATTCTAGGACTCTGGAGTGACAAATCACGCTTCTCTGTCTGGAAATCCGATGGACATGTTTTGGTTTGGCAGTTGCCAGGAAAACAGTACTTCCCTGACTGCATTGTGCCAAGTGTAAACTTTGGTGGAGGTGGGGATTATGGTGTGGAGTTGTTTTTCAGGGGTTGGGCTTGGTCCCTTAGTTCCAGTGAATGGAACTCTTAAGGCGTCAATATACCAAGACATTTTGGACATTTTCACACTGCCAACTTTGTGGGAACAGTTTGGAGATGGCCCCTTCCTGTTCCAACATGACTGTAACACCAGTGCACAAAGCAAGGTCCATAAAGACATGGATGAGCAAATTTGGGGTGGAGGAACTTGACTGGCCTGCAACCCGATAGAACACCTTTGGGAAGAATTAGAGTCGCGACTGCGAGCCAGGCCTATTTGTCTGACATCTGTGCCTGACAAATGCGCTTCTGGAAGAATGGTCAAACATTCCCATAGAAACTCTCCTAAACCTTGTGAACAGCCTTTCCAGAAGAGTAGAAGCTGTTATAGCTGCGAAAGGTGAGCCAACTCAATATTGAACCCTATGGACTAAGACTGGGATGCCATTAAAGTTTATGTGTTTGTAAAGGCAGGCATCCAATACTTTTGGCAATATTATTATTATTACAGGTATTGTAATAGGGAATCTGATACCACTCCTCATGCAAAAATCTTTTCAGCTCTCACAGAAAACAAGCCCGAACCTTGGTCTACAAAATCAATCACAGTGGCTCTATGATATTGAAGTCTAGCGACTACGGTGCCCAAGGTGCAACACTTTGTCTGCATACTCATCAAACCACGATTTGACAACACCAGCTGTGTGAATAAGAGCATTATTGTCTTGGTAAATGGCCCAGTCTTTGAGAAACAATGTCTGCACCATGGGGGGCACATGGTCAGCCAACATTTGTACATAGTCATTGGCAGTAACTCTACCTTTCAAGGTGATGATGGGGTCTGCAGAATACCAAGATATGGCTGCCCAAACCATGATTGTGCTGCCACCATGCTACCATAAGCAAAAGACAGTCATGGTCGTAAGCTTAGGATGGTGTTTGCCACATGTAAAAACGTCCGGTGGTTGGGAACAGTGTGAAGCTTGATTAATCAGACCATTTTACAGTCTTCCATTGATCGATAGTCCACGATTTATAGGTGTTTTTGCACCACTCTCTCCTCTTCTGTGCATTGATATTAGTTTTTTGTGGACACTGTCTTTGGAAGACTGAGATTGAGCTCTGCAGTCACTTTTGCAGTAGCTGTTTTCTTATTCTGGGTCACAATCCTGCACAATGCCCTTTTGTTTCTTTCGGCCACTTGACCATGTCGACCATGCTTATGTTTATCAGACAAAGTTTTCCTGGAAACTGTATATGCCATCATAACCTTTAACACTGTACTTTGCAACACTTCAAATAAATTGGCAACTTCAGTTATAGAGGCACCAACTAAGCGGGCACCAACAATTTGACTTCTTTGAAACTCAGTAAGCTCTGACATGACTCCATATTATTAGCAGCACACACAGTGAATGACAAAAGTGAGGCTTCTCACCCTTTATCTAGGTGTCTCTTCACACAGATAAAGCAAAAGAATGTTACATCATTTTCGCTTTCAATGTAATTCATCATCACTCTCACACCTGAAAATCATGTAGTGTTTCCATATTTTTGTCCAACCCCTGTATTTCCTGGGCTGAATGCTGCCACTGGCAGTGGAGATTCTTTCTGTTACTGTGGACTGAACGAGAGCATATCGAGCAATGTATGGCTACATTAAGTGTTGGGACTACTGGGTTTGTTCCAATTGGCATATGTGATAAGGGTAAGCTGTTATCATTGGGGTTCATTAGCTAAAACTGGAAAGTACAAAATCTGGTGCAGTTGTACATGATAGCCAATCAGCTTCTATCTTCAGCTTGTTCAATTAAGCTTTGACAAAAAAAACTGGAAGCTGATTGGTTTCTATACAGAGTTGTGCCAGATTTTGTACTTTCTGGTTTTAATAAAATCAATCCCTATTGTCTTGCATTTAAGCAAAATAATGACAATGAGGAGATTGCTCATTGTCAATGCATCAGGACAGAAGTGCATAGTTTGAACATCTGTAGTCTAAAAACAGTAGGAGTTTGGTGGGGGGATGAAATTCCTTGGTAAGTACTGTACATGTGTTTTGATTTCATTAATAATTTTTGAAGATGTCTGGTTTAGTTTAGTGCAATATTTGTTTGGCAGTTGTTTTCTGTTTTATTCTTTGGAAGCTGGGTTGCTGTCCTGTTTTTATGCAGATTTTCAGGTTATGTGGTGACATTGCTTGTCTGCATTCTTTGGTTTGTGCCCTTCAGTCTGAGATGAGGAGGCTATCTAAGCCAATTTGTTCTGTCGATCTACCTTGCAAAAAGCCACCTCTTCCTTAAAGACTATGCAGATGAAGGGCAGTGTGAACATTTTTTGTGTCTGGAAAAGTGAGAACTATGGAGCAAACACAGCTTGTTATGTGTCACTGAATAACTTATAGTAAATCAGATGGTGATGCAGAGGTTGCAAGCAAAGCTCTTTATGAGAATAGTGACTCTTCTGGGAATAGCATGGTAGTCCCAGAGAAAGAAGTTTCTTTGCCAAAAGTTACTTTAGCTTATCATGTTACAAATCAGGCAAGTCTCGTGAATGAGTTAACAAGCTTTGTGAATGGACAGCTCTTATGTTTAGGGGTAACTTGGATTTTACAGAGACACGGTCCAGGGATTCAAATGACTGGGAATTACCTACACCAGGGTACACACTATATAGAAAAGAAAGAGTAGAAAAGAGAGGAGGTGGAGTTGCCATTTATGTCAAGAAGAAAGAACATTTCACTGAACAGAGCAGCCATCAAAAAACACCTGGACACTTCTCAATCAACCTAAGTACTGTCCCTTGTACTGATTAAAAAAATATCATAATAACTAAACTTAAGTTTTATACATTTTATACATTAAAGAGGTAGTTCACTTCTACAGAAAAAAAAACAAAAAAGATGAAACAAAACACCCTCCACACATCCCCTGTCTCCGCAGTATTTACTTCCAGGGAGGTTGAGCTGTAAGTGACCACATGGTCGGTCCAGCAGCCTGGGGATTTGAAATCTTTGCTCTCCTCCTTCTTTTCCGAGGGCAGCGCTACCAGGAAAGATCAGAGCGATGCTCTGTGACCAGGGGCGGACTGACAACTCATGGGGCCACCGGACAATAGGGGATCATGGGGCCCCTGTGTCCTTGCCCAAACTCAAAAAAGCCTATGAAAAAGGTACCAGGGGCATCTCATGGGCCCCCCTATTGACCCCAGGCCCTCGGGCAGTCCACCCCTGTCTGTGACAGTGGTGGGCAATAAAAATTGCTCTGGCCCATTCCAGAAGTGCTGCACAGAGAAGGCATGGTTCAGCATCACAATGGTAAGTACAGCATGGACCGAAGGGATGGGGAGGATGTACAGTGTTAGTTCACCTTTTTCGTTTATACTGTATAATGGAGAAATCGTACATTAGGGGTGTGAATAAGGTTCAGGAGGGCAGTATTTTCAATATGAAATAAGGTAACTTTAGAAAATATTATTTTCACAGAAAGAGTAGTTGATGCTTGGAGCAGAGCTAATGAGTCAGTCAACAGTAAGTGAATTTAAACATGCTTGAGAAAAATATAGATCTATACTCGGACAAAAAAAAAAAGTTAAAATAGAAAAGATCACCCCCCCAAATAAATAAATCAATAAGTAAAACGGGGCAGACTTGATGGACTTTTTCTACTCTTCCATGTTTGCAGACAGACTTTCTACATCCTTACTGGGCTAAAATTTGAATGCGGAACCAGTGGTACTCATTCCCTCTCCTTTTTGTGTAGTTTCCCACATGTGCTCTGTTTCCTCCCATAACATAGGTGAACTAACTTCCACCTAAAATTGTTTCTGGTTTAAAGTGGTTATATAGCTAAAACATTTTTACATTAATGCATTCCCTGCATTCAGGTAAAAAACATTTTGCCACTGGCTGTCCCCCCACCCCTTCTAAACATTTACCTAAGTCCTGTATCAATCTTGTGCTCGGCTGCAGATCTTCTACCCTGCCATTCTCCTCTCACTGGAGGATCAGGCAGCAGTGAGAGCCATTGGCTCCTGCTGCTGTCAGTCAAATACTGTAAGCAGAGAGTGAGGGGTGGGGCAAAGCCACACTGTGTGTTTCTATGGACACTCACAGCCCAGCTTGGGAGTGTGCCCCTACATCTGTCCCCAAGCAAGCAGCTTGCTATGAGGTCAGGCACAGAAGAAGTGGATCCAAGGTCACCAATAAGGGACACCAGAATAGGAGGTCCAGGGCCACTCTGTGCAGTACCATTGCACAGAACAGGTGAGCATAACAACATGTTTTTTATTTTAGTTAAAAAATTGTCTTTAGAAACACTTTAAAGGTGGCGAGAACCTCAGATTGTTAGCTCCTTTAATGTCGAGGACTTACCTACCTAAGGACTTGTATCTCTGTACATCCTGTTCCGAGATTTACATAGCTCTGTTACATAGCACAGTCTAGTCCAGCAGGACAAAAAGCATGATTTTTTTCGTCTTCTGCATTTAAGTAACACTTACAGGCATTGTCCCTGCTCCCAGCTTATGATTGGACAGCTCTCTCCGCACATCAGCACATACTTAGTTAAAAAATGAGCACTGCACCACAACTGACTGATTACAGTACAGGAAATTGTAAGAGACTGATACCAGGTCCAAATCAGGTAATTACAGTCATCTGAAAATATGATTTCCTAAGAATGGGGGTGGAGTAAAGGATGGAGCTATTAGCAGCAAGCATAGCATGCCGTAACAAATGAAGGGTGTGGCAAAATTGTGCTGACAGTGAAAAGTTCTTAAAAGTTGAGCCTACAGACAGAGTACAGGAGTATGTAACATACATAGTGCAGGGGTCTGGGTTGGGTAACATACATAGTG